AACAGCAACAAAAAAAATAAAAGAATAATTTTTTTTTAGTTCAACAACAATAACCGACACTTTTTTCACGTTTTAAACAGGAAGTCGGTTTAAGAAAGATTTTATGAAACAACCAACAAAAAGCAAGGACGAAAAGCCACCACTAACTCTTCGGTTTTCTCTTAGTTATCGCTTAAGTTTCATTTTCATTTATTTAATTTTATCTTAGATTAGTTTCACCTTTTCTGTCAACATTTATTTTTTCTTTCTTATTTGTTCTTTTTCCTCGTTCTTTGTGCTTCTGTGCTGTTTGTCTGTGGCCTATGTTTCGTCATTTGTGTGTCTGTGTGTGTGTCTGTGTCTGTGTCTGTGTATGTGAGTTTGCGCATAGTTTTGGAAACAGTAAATGCAACAGTATCCATTAATATCACATGAAAATTGTCAAATTGTTTGACAACAATTGATCAAACTAACAACCGCTTTATAACCGACCAATATTTATGAATTTCTGTTTGTTGGTATGTCTCTGTGCCTGCGCAGAATCTATGCCTTCACGTCTGCATTCATTATTTTGTTACCCTAATCCTTGTTCTGTAATAACCACCCATCGGTAATCAGTTGGCGACAGTTAATTGGAAAGAAAGGTCGGTTAGGTTACTGCTATAAAACGTCCATCAAATGTTGCAATTCTAAAACTGTCTCGACATTTGAAACAACAACAGCAATGAAAATTAATATATAGATGAAAAGAATGAAATGTAAAGGAACAACGACAAAAAAAAAAAAAAGCTTTAAGGAAAAAATTGCTCTTCTTGTCATTTTTAATTCTTTTCTATATCGTCCTTCTCAGATTATAGAACCTTCAAGTAAGCAATATTCTTTGAAAAGTTCTTCAAACTTTTCTAAGTCTATTTTTCACACACCCACAAAACTTGATGCATAAATACATATACAAAAATACAAAAAAGTTTCACATTAGAAACGTTTTTTTTTTTTTTTTTGCTTGACAATTTTTTCCTATAAAAATGACTTTCAATTTTACCACAAAAATTTGTTTTTGGAGCCCATCAAAAAACTTGTGTATCAAAAAAAAAAAAAAAA